TCTTGACTGTAGACTTCTGACTTAGTGTGTGTGTGTGTGTGTGTGTGTGTGTGTGTGTGTGTGTGTGTGGTGGCGGGGTGTGTGTGGGTGGACTCTCTGTCTCTCTCTCTCACTTTGGTGTGTTTTTTCCCTTTATCCTTTTTCTTTTGGTGTCTATCTACATAAAATATGCAGTATAAGCAATCCCAATGAGACAGCAACAGGACCAAAGGGGCTGGAGGCATTGAACAGGAGGAGGTAGGGGTAGGGGTGGGTGTATGAGTCCAAACCTGCACACATAAGAGCACACATGCCCAAACTCAATCACACAGGGGCTCAGGAGACTGAACTCACAAACATAGGAGTGGAGGAACCCAGACCTGCAAACACAAGCATGCAGGAGCCTGAATGCCATCACATATGGATACATGAACCCAAGCCACGCACCTAGAGGGGCACAAGCTGTCGCCTGGGCTCTCCTGGAACAGCTGGTGGCTTTGGGGCATCTGCTGTAGGTGAGGGTGCTTCCAGCACCTGCTGGGGGTCACTCCCACGCTCCCACTGCAGCCTACCCTGCCCCTCCATGTGGGTGCCCCACTTACTGCACCTGCACTTCAGGGATGGATGCTTCTGCCTCTTGGAGGATCTGTGCATTCTCCAAACCCCACGCAGCCCTGTGGCCCCTGCTCCCCAATGTTCACAAACCTGTCAGGGCTGGTTAGTGCGGGGGCAGGTTGGTGGGTGAGCTCTGGATTTGGACCACACTCTAGGCCCCTTGGAGCACTGCAGTCACAGAGAAGGGAGAGTGCCCAGGGAGGGGGAGTGGCCCCCTGTCCAGACCTCTGCCCACTGTGCTGTCCTGAGGAGGCACCCGGCCTTTCTGTGGGAAGAGCTCCTCCAAGACCCTCCCTGGCCTCCCTCCCAGCCAGTGCAGCTGGGCAAACCCAGGTTCTCCTGGGGGGTGGGGTGGGGGTGTTGCTCTGATGGAAGAACTTCCTGGACCAGCTCAGGGGTGAGAGGCACCTCCTTTGACCTCTAGGAGGGGCTGCATAGGGTTCCCCAGGGAGCCATCTGGACAGGATGCAGCACTGCATGCATGTGCGTGTGCGTGCATGTGTGTGTGTGTTCGGGAAGCTTCGGTTGGGGCAGTACCTGCCTGTCGCTCTCACCTGGCAATGCTCTGCACCCCAGGCTCAGCACCTGGTCAGGTATTTCTCTGAGGGTCAGGCCCTGGGAGCTCTGAGGTCCAGCAGCATCCAGCTTCTGGTGTGTGTGTGTGTGTGTGTGTTGTGTACACAGGCTTGGCCAAGAAGGAGATGGGTGCTGGGGTAGGGCCGTGCCTGGCCGAAGGAGCTGGAAGGCAAGGAGCTGGGGTGGTGGGGTGGGGGGTGGTGGAGTGGGCCTCAGCCTCATCTCTCCCCTGGCTCCTTCCACGCAGGGTCCGAGGGAGGGGGTAGCGTCCACTTCACCTCATGTCCCTTTTGAGTGAGTTCCCTCTCCCTGAAGGTGAAGGCACGAGACAGCCACCTTCCCTCCAGTTCCTGGCCCATTTCACATCCTCCAAAGGTGACCTGAGGGTCCAAGGAGTCAGCAGGGCTGGGTGCCCTCTCCCCCACCCCTCCTCCCCCACCGCCCTGGGCCTGCGTCTGACGAAGAAAGTCTTCATCACTAAGGAGCATCTAGCTGCTGCTTTTACAGCACTGGCAAGGCTAAAAGAAATAATAATAATAATATAAAGGAGGCTGAGTGCTGAAACTGCTTACAACATGCTATTTGCATGTTTAAGGGAACAAGTCTTGGAGACAGGCTGGGTGAGAGGTTAGGATTTGCATATAAATGGAAAAGAAAGTGTGTGCCGCGGGAAGTTACATCTGTATTATTTTCTCAGCAGTGAGCTGCTGTTGGGGAGATTAGGGACAAGGCTTGCATTTGGCTTTTATTGAATAGGGAAAGTACCAGCGAGGCTGGTTTAGAAGCAAAATAATGGGAGAAATGTGCAAAGCTGCGAACCGCCAGCCCCACCCCCACCTCCCCTTTCTCTCATTTTCACCTAAACTCAGCAGAAGCGGCCCTGTCTCCCTCCTCGCAGTGAGTCCACGCCCCCTCCCTCATCCTTGCTGCAAGCATGGATCAGAAAGGCACAGCCTGCCCTCATGTCCCTCAGTTCCGTGTGTGTTTTTGCCAAGGAGGGGCCCTCACGCCCAACCAAGGACAGAGCCCCTGCTTACTACGCCTCCTACCTCCTAAGACAGTGGTTCTCAACCTGTGGGTCGCGGCCCCTTTGGGGGGTTGAACGACCGTTCACAGGGGTCACCCAATTCATAACAAAATTACGGTTATGAAGTAGCAACAAAAATAATGTTACGATTCTACCTTACATATCCGGCTGGACTGGGGGATGTACACTGGCACAGATAGGAACTGGAAATACAGTGAACCCAGGACAGATGAACCCCCCAGGACCAGTGGAGAGAGTGGTGATAGCAGGAGGGTGGAGGGAAGGTGAGGGAGAAAGGGGGAACAGATGACATATGGCCTCCTCCCTGGGGGACAGACAGCAGAGAAGTGGGTGAGGGAGACGTTGGATGGGGTAAGATATGATAAAATAATAATAATTTATAAATTATCAAGGGTTGTGGTGGGGGGAGTGGGGAGGGAGGGGGAAAATGAGGAGCTGACACTAAGGGATCAAGTGGA